CGGATAGTCCTCATGAAATTCAGTGCATATAATGTATTTTTTTTTGTTTAGAGTGCTGTGTTGTAGCTTAATGTTTAAAGACCCAGGGTGATTGAAGGCTTGATCTCCGCAAACCTGGGCAGTGCACTTATCCCTAGGTTGCTCCAGATTGGCACTGTAAGTGGATTTGGATAAAAATGTCAGCTGAAGTACTAGTAAGATTTAAGACTTTTCCATTATATTATAAAGGTTGATCCTTGAGAATGATGAGGGAAAACAGATTTGAGTTGCTCTGAGTAATGGAAAGGCTTAAGCATGAGATGCATCTCCCGCTCCCCAGGGACGGACAACTTCATCAATGAGTTAGTCAATATATGGCAGAAATATTAGAAATAAAAGTGAGGGATGCCGAATGGCTAGTCACATGAGTGAGGTAAGCAGCTGCTTATATATCCTTGTGCTGTGATTATATATAAAATATAATAGGGTGACTTTTATGTTAAGGGGTGGAGGGTGTGATTTCGTTGGTGGTGCCCATCCAGGCTTGATTGTAATGATAGGAATAACACTAGTTACAAAATATTTAAGATATATAGTTTATTTAATTGAAACAAGAGAAAATGTCTGATAGTTTAGTTGGTGCATTGCATTACAGTTGGTGTTTTAACCCTCTTCTTAGTCACCTCCATCCTGTTTTATTTAGTATTACATTTAAATGAACCAAATGCAAGGAACATAAAATAATGTTACAAATGTGTTTGTAAATGCTGACATTTACATGAAAATTAAAATTCATTTTACTACGTTTTAACACAAAATCATATTATATATTACAAAATCTAATAATATAAATATCATGCGATTTGTTTGGAATAAATAATTAATGTATTTGTAAATTTACATGTATGTTTATCAATTTTAACAAAAATAACAATAGATTAGGATATTAAATACACTGTCATCATAAAACCATAAAAAGTATATAGAATAGAATAGAATAACCATATGGCAACCAAATAAATTGACAGATTTTTTAAAAGACTTAATGAATATGCAAATAGAAGCAAATCAAGTTGCATGGACAAAGAAACAGCGTTCCTTATTGAGAACCACAAAGGGTCCAATACATGGTAGCTAGAACATTGAGGATACTTAGTTGGCCAAAAGCAGGACATATTTACATTTTTGTGAATTTGGGACGACACCTCATGAAATCAGTTCACCGCTCCCCCTCTTCAACTTATGTTTCAAACTCCATTTAGTGATGGACAGAGCATTTCTGCTCATCATCTTAAACTGGATTATGGCATTATGTATAAGTATTGTCATAACAAGAGCTAGTCATCATTCAGTAATGCTAGTACTTTGACCATACTCATCACAAAGGTGAATGTTGATGTTTGAACTTGAACAACAAGCAGGAGCAGTGGAAAAGGGAAACAGTGCAGCTTGATGTGGATAATTATTTTATCACAGCAATTAATGGAGCTTGTAACAAGAGTGACCACATCGCCCCAGAAGAGAAAAGAGGAATGGCAGTGAAAGTCCTAAAGCTGTCATCACTTTTTCTCTTTTTATTCTCTCTCCCTCTCCAAACAAGCCTCTTTGTTGTTGTGCGGTCAATGT